GGCAGCAAAACCCCCAGAACGAGCCTTGGAGAGAATGTGTCCCTGCTGGGAAATCCCTGGCACAAGGTGGCTGGTTGATAAATGTGGATGCCGCTGCTTTCACCGTCATTATCCAAACAATTCCTCTGATCATCATCTTGCGACTGCGGTCCACACAGAACAGACAAACTACAGTCAGGGTTGCATTACCCATGCCTCTGCAGCCGCACTTACCGGGCCTGCAGTGAATTATGGGCATGCTTGCTGGCAAGTCCCTTCCAGCCAGTTCTTTCCTGGCTTCCCCTTCCGCCTGCACCCTCAGGAGACGAAGCGAGATCGAGGGAGCACGTAGGTTTAGTCTCATATGTCCACTCCAGCTGATCCACGGTGTGTACCTGGAAAATAGACTTAAAAGGGATTCGAGGTCTTGTCTGGACGTAACAAATAAGCTTCCCACAATCTGTTAGCAATGTCTGCGGAGTTGGGAGGCAAGTGGTCGCTGTTCCAGCATTTCCCAGGCCCGACCACATGTTCTCCAAGGCCCTTCCAGTTCCCCAGGCCTCTGACTCCTGTTCTGAGTCGTCTTCTTAGAGGCTGTAGCTGGTAGGTTGGGCAGGGTTCTCTAGGGAAGCAAAGACAGGGATGCTTGTCTGAGAGTGGACGTAGAGAGAGATGGATATCAAGAAATGGCTCAGACAGTTGTTGAAGGCACTAAGTCCAGCCTGGCTCAAGTTCATGGGTCAGATGTGAAGTGGAGGTTTCTCCTGACACCAGCAGCTGCAGGGACTGATGAACAGGAAGCAGGAAGGCCACTGGCTGGTGGATGCTGAACCAAGTGAATCCACAGTCATCAGCCTGCTGATGGTTCCTGGGATTGGCAGGCGATGGACAGGAGGCCAATGAACCAGACGTAGGATCCAGACAGATCCTGCTAGATCTGGATCCAGCGTCAACACAGTGTGAGTCTATACCAAGAGCAGGCCGCACCTTGAGTGAGACCTCCCACAGTTGGTGCCAGGCTGTGACCAGGAGGGTGCTGTTCTACTCTGTTATCCCCACAAGGGCTTGACTACTCGACACAAGGTCCCATCATGGAGTGACCTCGCTGTGCTCGATCCCTTCACGGGAGCGTCCTGGCCCAGTCCAGGAGACATACAACCTTACTTTCACGCTGGTGGCGTCCTTTCCATCCAAATGGATATTCAGTGTCCTTGAATTGAAAAGCAGGAGTGGACCCCCCCATCAGGAATCTGCACATGGAGGATGGGTTTTGAGACGGCACCTGTGAATGGGGCAGAGGTTTCTTGGGAACCTTGTTGATACTTTGATGAAAAAATATACTGTCGTGAGAATGTCAGAAAGGATGGCTCCCTGAAGCTGTGGGTATGAGCCACAGCCAGTGATAGCACATGCAGTTGTACTGTTTCCTGGAGAGGTAAGGGGAGGGAGGGAAGGCCTCTTTGCAGCAGCATTTCACCATGGATATACTGGAGGGTTTCTCTAAACTAGATAGGTTTCTAGCAGCTGTTGCATAATTCGGTTACCGTGCTGTAGACAGGTTATTGGAGAACCTGATTCAGCCCCTTCCTTTGGTACTTAGGGTCTGACAAGGGTGTTGTGTTTCTGAGACCAAGCGGTTAACGCAAAGTGATGAGATTTGGGGCTTCCATGCGCCTTCTACAGGAAACCGCTGCGCTACTTTTCAGACTTCCATTTTCACAAGGAGAACTGAAAGCCCGATGGTCCGCTGGCCTTCAGAATCGCACCACGGGGGTGGAAGTTCGGCCTACCAGAGGCATCTCCACAGAAAGACCGAGGCATCTCCTCCAGAAAACATCAGCCGTTGGAAACCTGATGGTGGCGTGTCCCGAGCCTGTGGTGCCCAGTGTGGCTTTGAGTCAAGGTGACTCTGTGGTGACTGGGCTGCGCCTTCATGATCTCTGGCAGGCATGGCCCCCGCGTTCAGTCGTTGAGTGAGATGATGGCTTCCCCAGCCCCAGCCAGGGCGAACCCGATGCAAGGGCATGTTTCTAGGGTCTTCTCCAAACAGGGCAGCAGCAACAAACAGCTGGAAAGCATCTATGGGCCGTTTGCAAATTACCCCTCGTGAGCTGTAGTGGTTGTGAAAGATAATTTGTGGTTCTCACAGGATACTCTGTGAATTGGGTCTTTCATCTGCAGCATTCTCTGCAGTGAAAACATTTCATTTCTCATATTAACAAGTGATAACTCTGCATTTGTTAATCTAAACAATTTGATTGATACATTTCTTTCTGTGCTGAGCGGCTGTTGACATGTCAGGGTGAGTAATTATTTTCATCACCGACTGCTGTTTGTGGTGACTGTTGGCGAGAGAGAGAAATGTGGATAAACGAATGCGGCATTTTAATCACTGCCCTTAAAGACCATCTATTCAGACAGGGGACTTGCTTGCCTGAGTCATCCTCCATACGTAGCAGTCTAATAGGACAGGGGTGCTGAGGAGCCAGGGTTCCAGGGAGCCTCTGTGAGCATGCCGCCGTGTGTCAGACACTCTCGCCGGTCATCACTGTGAGCAGGTGACAGGGCTGGCCGGCAATGTCTCTGAACCTTTGGTAGGCTACAGAGTCCCTGCGCTCTTACCTCACAGCCGGAGAGGAAGCACGTGGTTTCCTCAGTAGTTGAAGCTTAACAAATACCTGCTCTGGCCCTCCCTCGGGCAGTGGCGGTTGGAATGACCTGGACCAGCGCTCCCCAGATCACCTCATAGGATGCCTGGTGCACAGCAGGAGCTCTGGAAACATTCCATGGAATTGTGGTGAAGACAGTCAAAGGGCTTGCTGCTCACTGTCCCCTCTAATGCTGTTCTTGTCCTGTGATTTCCAATCATGGGGATTAGGAAAGATGGCTCTTTACCTTGTAGACAGACACTGTGGCTATACCCTGCGATCAGGACCCTCAACCCTGCCCTCCGCAGGCCCTAGAGCAGGCCCAGCACCTGGCAAAACGAGGGCTTCTTTTGAAAACCTTAGCTCTCGTGCTGATTTCTCAGTCTACTTCCTAATGCGTCCAACTTTATTTCAACATCGACGAAGAAACCTTACACATCAACTGAAGCGTGGCGCACGATGGCCCAACTTTGGCCAGTGAGTCTGTGGACCCCACAGTGGTGACAGGCCCTGATGGATGCATCGTGTGAGCCATGCCGGGTGGGCTGCGTCACTGGCACTTGTCCATTCCTGTTGGCCACCTTACACTGTCGACTGTGCCTCTGGTTGCCCTGGACCAGTGGAAAACACTCCCGCAACACTGAGCTGCTCTTCACATTCCAGGTCAGGCAATGGACAGCTCATTCAGTCTCCAAACCAGTATTTCCATGGCCCAGAGGGGTAACTGTAGAGTCAGTATTCTGCATGGCAAATGTGTTTTATCCTTTGAACCAACTCCAATTGATTAGTTCTGGTTGCCTACAGTGCTGTCTTAAGGCATCTGTGGAGCATTGGGGCTGAGCTGAGAGGAGTGCTGTGATTGATTAGAGATGACTGTCCTGGCCTCTGAGGAGACCATGTACCCTCTGTCTGCTTTGGGTCTGACCTGAGGGCCTCTGTGCTAGATCCTTTCTTGAAAAACGTATGTTACTATCAACAGGTGACTTCAGTAGGACACACGCAATCATGAGAGACAGCAGGTAGGTTCCACTTTAAGAAAACATAGCATGAGAAAAATGCAAATGGAGAAAATGCAAACATCTGGAGCCAATTCCTTCCATTACAGAAAGATTCCAAGAAAGGCTCGTCTGCATAGCGAGCTCCCTGCTGCAGGACAGGGTGACCGCGCACAAACACCCCCGTGGCCTGCAGGTCTTCCGCACTGTGTCTGGGGAGGCTAAGGCAGCCACGCCGGAGTGTTTCTTAGTGCTTTAACCACGGCCTAAGTAATGTTCAGGATGGCGCCCCCGCGCACCTTGGGTCTCTGGCAACTCCCAGCATCTTCAGGCTGACTTCCTGCCCCAGAGTGTTGGGTAGGGAATCTGGGTGGTGGTCCACAGCGGCTGGATCCATCCCTCACTGGGCTGCATTTTGTTAGTGGGTAAAGTGATTACTCTATGTGTTTGTGTGGGTGTGGTTGAGCAGGCCCCTGCTCTCTGTGCGCGGTGTGTGTCCAGGGAGATACATCAGGGCCATTACCCCTCTCTCAGCCCACCCCACACCCATTCCTCTGTACGAACTGTGAATGGAAGGTTCCAATCACTCGGTGGATACGGCCTTTAGGTAATATTTGCCTTGAATTCCGGTGCCCCTCTTCTCATGGTGTTTGTTTATATATTATTTACTCTTTGCATCAGAAAACGTCCCTAGACTCTGGGCCCAAATCCCGTTGTTATCCAAACATGGGCCCTCCTCCTCCTCTGCGGCCTGGAAAGCCCCAAACAGATTTCTGATCTAGAAAATTAACTATAGTCTGACTCTTGCGGCAAGCTCCAAGAATTCCCACCCCTCACACACTCCCATTAGCGACATAACGCACACAACATCTACAAATGTATCACCAAGCTAGCAGGAACTGGAATTACAGAGGCATCCCGTGCCCCTCGGGTGGGTCATATCACCTCCTGTTCCTGGACACTCCAAACCGGGCATTTCCCAGGGCACATATGGCCCCCAGCGGCACTGACTGGCACAGACATTGGAATTGTTCGTCTTCTGTCACAGCAACGGAACGGACTGGAGGGTGAGCACCGGGGAGAGGGAATCTTCCCTTTCGGTGTGTCTGGCCTGCCCAGCCCAGCAAGTCCCCAGGGAAAAATCCTCGGAGCTTCAGGCGCACAGCGCACTTGCAGCCTCTCCACTTCATCTCTGGCGTTTTTCCAGTCTCATCCTACATTTCTTCCCAGGAATGTTTTTTGCAGACACACTTCCCCACCCCACCACCCCCATTCTCTACCACTACCAACCCTTCTGGGAAAAAAGCACAATGGAGTCCTGAGGAGGAACACGTGCTCCCAGCCGTCAGACAAGAACTGTCTCCTGGAGATGGAGTTCTCAGACCGGTGAGCTGTCAAGGAGCTCCCCTCCTCCCATCTCCGTCTTTCCTGGCCGGCCGGCCGGAGGCAAGGGGCTTTCCTGACACTGGGCAGAAAGAGCCGCGTAGGTACAGCCGTAGATGGTGGCCACCAGCATCATGAGACTTACGATCCCACACACGATCCCGGTGATGACGACGGTGGCCAGGGCGTGCCGCAGGTTGGTCGGCCTCAACTTGGGCTTGAGCTCACACTCCAGGTGGGTCTGCCCCCCCGCAGGGCCACCCTCTGGTGGCCCCAGGGCAGCACCATGGGCAGGGTGTGGCGGCTGAGACTGTGAGGCGGGCGGATCCCAGGGAGAAGGGCACGGCAGGTACAGGTCGTGAGGGATGGTGAGGAGGTCCTTTCCCTTCCAGGTGTCCGGTGACACACAAGTGACGCCATCCGTTCTTCCCCCTTAAAACAGACAAACAAGGGCAACGGGTGATAGAGGAGCCTTCACACAGTGGAGTTCCAGAAGTCAGCCTGCAAAACTTTTTTTAAATGTAGGCAGATGGAATGTATAAAGAACCCCTTTTCCTTCTTTCTTTCTTTTTTTCCCCTGCAGTCAAAGAATTTAACAGCCATATTTTATGATTTTAGGATTTCTAAATTGGCTAGGTGCTCAAAATGCCACACACTAAATTGGCAATTACTTATGAGCAAGAATTCATTAGAAGCCAAGTTACCTTTACCTTATAAATGTGGGGGACGTGGTGGGGCAGGGGCAGACAATGCAAACGCTGACAAGAAGGAGCGCTTGGGGGGGCAGTACTGAGGGCAGTGCTGCCCAGAGCATGGCTGCTGCTCATTCTCCTAATGAACCCCTCCAGACAAGCGATCTTTTGTACCACATCCCCCGTGGAAAGCGGAGGGAAAGGAATAAGATACAACAACCGCCCATTGTTGTGATGGGATGCGTTAATTACAAAGGCCGTAGGTGTCTACCAGGAGTGTTCGGGATGCCAAGTGGGGAGGTGGCGTGGTCCTTTGTATCTTCTCTGTAGCTGAAGATTTGACAGTAATGGTCGTTTGGTTTGTGGGATTAAGTATAATTAGCGTGTCTCCTCAGGCCTTGAATCATTTAATACTTTGACTGCCGCGTTTTCCAACGGGTTCTTGAACTCAGTTTCCGTCCCTTGTGAGGGGATTGGTCCCCCCAGGTATGCAGACTGCTGGTTTTCAGATGGGATTCTTTTCTGGAAAGAGCATTGGTCTGAGAGATCCCCTGCCAGCGTCACTTGCCCTTGGGCAAATATCCCTCTCTTCCTGCTCCCCAGCCCCTTACCCACCCACCACCCAGGTTTTCTGCTGTGAAGTCCTACTTGTACCTAGTTGGTCATTGACAGAGCACTTCCCCATAAGTCCTAAAGCGCATTCCCGTCCTGCGTGGAAGAATGAAGACCTAAAACCTACCCCATCTCAGACCCGCTCTGTCCCACTGAGGCGCAGCTCCTGGCAGTCTCTGCTTCTTCCTCTCGGAGTGTTGTGACGTCAGAGGAATGGGCCTACAAAGTCCTTGGCTGGGTAGACCCTCCCCCAGGACCTGTGGCTGTATCCCCCTACGGCGAGGAACACCACCTCTAGGGTGGTTGCAAAGATCCCTGTCACTCCTAGCAAAGTTGGATTGAAGGCTCTGAGCAGAGCACCCCAGAAAGCAGCGCCGAGGACAAACCAGCACCCTCCACCGCTGGAAGGAGATTCTGCATCTGAGAGGCAGCATGCCATAGCAGTTCTCTTGGACTTTGATTACGTTAAGTCCCTGAGCCCTGGGACTGGCTGTTATGTCACTTAACCAGCCCCGATGAGCATGCTTGGGGTCTTTTCATGTTTCTTTAATAGGTCCCTGATACCCATTGCTGTCACACAAAACATGTCTCATCGCATGGGGCCCAAAGCATCCATTTGGGGTTTCTTTCTAGTCATTTGGGGTCACATCAGACTCAGAACCCCATGTCTCACTCACCTTCCTCCAGAGGCAGGCCCTGGTCTGGCAGTTCTGCCACCTGGGAGCTTTGGAGGGATCCCATTGGTTCAGGCAGGGCTCTGAGGGCCACAGTGGGCCCAGGAACACCCAGGTTGGATACATCTGTTTTCTTTTTTCATCAATCTGGGCAAACTCAGAGTGAAGAACTTGCTCAAAGCTCACCAGTGAGTTTGTGCAAAATAAAGAGCCTCCTCCCTCCCCAGCCCACTCCGGTGTGCAGCTGCCCAGAGCTGGGCACTCCTCCGTTTTGTTGGGAAACTTCTCTTCTGATGAAAGCAAAGCAGCCCGGGGGACAGGCTGTCTGTCCTCTGCCCTCGGGTTGAGCACGTCCCCAGTGTGCATGATGGAAGGAGCATGTCCTGGAGCCTCCTCCAGGATGAGTCTCCCCTCTCTCCACAGTTGCTGTGGCGAGTGCACTTGATCAGTAGCCATGGGCTGGTGCACTGTTTGCTATCAAGTGTGTTGATTAAGCCCTGGTGGTGCGGGAGGTGAAGTGCCTCACTGTGAGCCACGAGGTCAGCTGTTCAAACCCACCAGCTGCTCCAGGAGAGACAGATGTAACAGTCTTCTTCGACAAGGCCTTGGGGATACTGTGGAGCCCTTCTGCCCTGTCATGGGTGACTCATCAGCAGCGTGTTGATTTGTCTTTTGTTTGGGGTGATGTTGAGAGGCGTTTGTGAATTCACGATGGTACATTTGAACCCCCGTTGTGCTCTCACCCGGCTCCCTCTGTGTAACCAGTACAATCACCCAGCTGCTGTGGATCCCTAATTCCTCTCTAGGGCTTTGAGATCTTCCTGCGCCGTTGGCTGTGATGTACAGCCACCACGTCCACATCTCCCTCGTTATGTCCTGGGCATGTCAACCACCAAGTCCACATCTCCCTCGTTATGTCCTGGGCATGTCAAGCCTGTGTGTCACGCCCCAAGCTGAAGGAGACCACCACACCTGACTAGGCATCTCCGACTGGATTTGAGCTGCCTATCTTCCCCTGGCAGTCCAGGCCTGACTCCCATTGCCACCCAGGAGCTCCTTGGTGACTCCACACAGAATGCCATCTCCACGAAGAGGGCCTGCAACAGTGCCTGGCACATGAGAGCCCCTCAGGTGTATGGACGACCGATGCTTGCCAGCTGGGACGGAAGAAGCACTGCGGTGTCCAGGGAGAACAAAGGGCCAGCGTCCCCAGGGACAGGCGTTCTGTTTGCATTGGTGCTTTACCCTGTGACCTTGGGCCCATGATCTCTGCCCTGCTCAGGAACTCCGTTTCCATTGATAGCAGGATAGCTTTGGAATAGAAGGGGTCAGCACACTATTCCTACCAGAGGCCAGACAGTGCATATACTGTAAGCTTCTCCATGCAGTCTCTGAAACAACTACTCAACTTTGTGCAAAAATGGACACAGTCGATACATGAACAATACCACGTCTGTGTCCCAGTAAGACTTTACTTATAGAACAGGGACCTGCCTGCTTTGGACTACCCGCCTACCTATAGTCTGCTGGGCCCTGGGTGATCTTCAGAGCCTTCCGTCTTTTTTTATTTAATACTCTCCTGTTTTGCTTTTGGCATTTAATTTAAAGAAATCCTATGGTCAGAGAGGGCTCCTGCTGCACCCATTCCCATAGCAATGGCATTTGCTAAAACAGAGGGTTGTCTTTGAGAAGGTTTGCACAGCAGTGGGTAGAAGCAGAATAAAGGGAAAGCAAACAAACAAGGAAGAAGTAGGCATTCTTCGGCTGTATTACATGGAAAGATTAAAATTGGATACTAGTGTGGGGTTGACTAAATTTCTCTCCGGAGGTGATTAATGGTCCCAGATAAGTAACTTCATGTTGTGTTAATCAAACAAGTGGAAAGGGCTATCTGCAACTCATATTGGTTAAATAATTTACATGCCTGGATTTTAACACCCGCTAATAACCTATTTTAGAAAAAAAGGCAGGGTGGGGGGTGGGGGCTTTCCATACACAGGGACCGTCTTGGAAACTCACACGGGCTGTTCCACCCTGTCCTATAGGGTTGCTGTGAGTCAGCATCGATTCAAGGACAGTGAGTTTGCTTTGGTTCAGTGACCTATTTATGGAAGCGTGGTGGGGCACCAGGTTGATGGTTCAAACTCATCAGCTCTGCTGGAAGAGAGAGAGACTAGACTGTCTGTTTCTATAAAGATTTGAAACCCTGTGGAACAGCTCTACTCCGTCCTACCTAGTGATTAGGAGTCTAATGGGCATGATGGCAGTATGTCTGGCAATGACCCTTGGTGTCTTTGGCCCTAGGATGGAATGACCTTCATGTGAGCAGCTTAAGTGTAGTCATTGCGTACTGCGCCCCCACATCCCTTCTAGTGCAGAGAAACGTTAAGCTTCATCCCAGGCGATTAGCACACAGATAGGGTTTCACACAGACCTTACTGACCTTTGTAGATAAATCTCTCCAGCCAGAGCTTAAGACCCAGCAGATGGCAATTGCATTTCCAAAGGTTGCCCTGGAGCAGCAGGAGGCTCGTGCCAGGCATGCACTCCAGCAGGGCTGGATCTAGCTGCTGGAGCTGGTTTTGTTGCACTGCAAGTACAGTCAGATTCCCCCAGGGCTCCCCGAGAGACACAGGAAGATGGCTTATGTTGTTCCATGACAAGTCCAGCTCCCTCAGTCTCGGGAGGGAATGGAAAAGTCCCTTTTCCAGGGAATACAGGGAGTTCTGGGTGAGGTTTAAAGTGTGCAAGTGCTGAAGCCCGTGGAAAGCTCCGGGGGCCAGGGTGGAAAGGGAATTGTTGGACAAGTTCAAGGTCAGGAGCCGCGGCACTGACCTAAATGCAAACGCAGGAAGCTGGCGGATCCGGTTATCTTGTAAGTGCAGTGTTCGCGTGTGAGGAGGCAAACCGGAAGGGATTTCAGCCAGACCCTGCTGGCTGCAGTCCACGGCCTTGGAGTGACAGTGGCACTTCTCTGGGCAGCCCCACGCCACAGGGAGCAGAAACATGGCGCTCAAGAGCAGGACTAGTCCGCCTGTGACAAACAGAGAGACCGTTAAGTGGGAGTCCTGGTGTCCCAGTGGCTGCACGGTGGCTATGGCTTCCTACCAGGTCAGCAGTTGGGAACCACCTAAGCTCCGTGGGGGAAAGACGGACTTTCTACTCCACTAGAGAATTACGGTTTCCTGGCCCCCCCCTCCCCCTCCCCGGCAGGTGGGCCCTGTCCTGTAGGGCCTCTGTGAGTTGGATGGACTCGTGGCAGAGAGTTAGTTTTTGAGTTTGGGAGTGTGGTGCCAGTGTGTTTTTGTTGCCCCCTCCCGCTTCCTTTGGAATTGACACTGAAGCAGGTGATACTTCTACAGCCTGGTGGACAGGCCCAGCCGCTCGGGAGGAGAGCTGGACCCCACGGAGGGGGTTCCAGCGGCAACAGTCACGGCAGACTCTGTGATGTCCTTGGGCCTTGAAGAAGATGGTCTCTTGGTGACTGATTTTGAGGGAAAGGTGTCAGGCTATCCAGGAGGCGGGGCCGGGGATCGGAGGGGGCTGTTCCATTCTGTTCACTTGCCCTTTGGAAGATACAGTGAGGGGGATTCAGATCGTCCCATTTCTGGAACGTCAAGCCTTCTGTGCCAGGGAACCGTCCTATGTCTGTGCTGTTCAGCCTTGTAGCAATTAGCCACCCACAGGAATGGGGCTGCTACCACCTAAGGACTGTATGCTTTAAATAGACGCACCTGGCTAGTGGTGGTGGACCTGGGGCAGCTCCGAAGCCATGCCCACGCGTTGATGTCTGTTCTAAGAATGGCGACTCTGTCTGATCCCTTCTCATTGGAAACTTCTTAAGATTCAAAAATGTGCGAAGGCTGACCCATGAATCCACACATGTGGCCGTCTCCTCTCACTGACCTCCACACACAGCCTGGCCTGTGCCCGCATCTCGTTCTCTCTTAGCTCAGAGACACGAGGTGTCCCTGAAACAGGGGAACTCCCCTTTGACTGGTACCCCAATCTCCTTCCTTTACAGGAGCCCCAGCCCAGTCTCCCATACCTGTCTCAGACAGTGCTTAATAAAAACAATAATAAGTAATTAATATCGCACCTATTTTGAGATAGGCACCATTCCAATGAGACAATGTGTGAATTAATTCCATCATTCAAACGCAACACAATCTCACTGCCGGCAAGTGACTTCAGACTCCCAGCTTCCCTGTGGACCAAGGTAGAACCGCCCTGTGTGTTTGAGACCGTAACTCTTCATGGGAGTAGAAAAACGTGTCTCTCTCCCAGGGAGTGTCTGGAGGTTTGGGATTTTGTTCTTAGAACCTTGTAAACCCAGACTGTGATTATCCTTATTTGATACACGAGGAAACAAAGTCTCAGAGACAATAAATACCTGTCCCGTTGTTACATTGAGAGGAAGGGTGGGGACATGATCTGAACCCGGGCAGTTTGGCCCCAGAGTGTCGGTCCCGGGCTCTTCTCTGCCGTGGTCTAGCACCTGTCACCTAGGGACCTAGCTCCACTCGCTCACAGTTTTCTGGGATGACTCTGAAGTCCACTTCAATGCCATTGCCCGTCTATGTTGTTCGGTAACATGCCCTGCCCCTGAAATGCTCAAATCTCTCTGAGGAGGCTTCACGGTTTCATGGAAAATGTCCATCATTGTTTCCTTCAAATTTTCCATGAACTGGCTGAGGGCCCCTTGTCTGTGGACACTGTTCCCTTTCAGGAGGGTCTAGTGAGACGACTCTGGCCTGTGATGGCATGCCTGGCAGTAAAGTCTGCCCTTCCAGAGGGCCAATTGAGCCGTCCTGTTTCTCTCTCCCACATCTCCTTGCATGGAGTTCCTTGTGATGCCCGGGGTGAGCTCTCTGGACATACAGGAGTCTGGGACAAACACAACTTCTGGGATCATATGTCTGGGGCAAGGTATCCATGACAGGGTTCAGCAAGGATGGCCCTTTTGCATTTTCTGAAAGAGTGCGCAAGGTAGCATATGATGTGGGCATACTGAAGAATCTAGATCTAGGATCTAGATCATACAGCCTACCCCCACCCCTGAGATTTGAATGTCAAACTGGGGCAAATACCTGTTAGGGACATGTTATCTAGTCAGGAGAGGAGTACACAGGGCCTGAGAGAGTGTCTCACACTCATCCTTGTTAGCTGCTGGTGAAGAAAGCGCTTGACAGAGGGTCTTGCTTTGCTGGTCGCTGTTCTTCTTGTCTGGGTCTTAAGTGGGGATGCCTACCACGCACCCTCCGATCTGTGCGAGCCTGTCTGCTTCCCTGTTTGACGTCTCTCTGGATACTTGGTGTGCTTTCGGTGGGCAAAGAAGGGCTTGGGAAGCTTTCTGAAGGCACTTTTGCTCAGGTTAAAGGGGGTCCCTGCCTTCCTGCCAAAATGTAAGAGGAACATCCCTCTTTCCCATTCTGTCATTCTGCAAATCATCTACGTGATTCTGTCCCAAGCCAAGCCGTCCATCTCTCCAACGGATGGACTGACAGACAAACAGATGGACAGATGCTGGCCCTTCAGCTGCAGCCCAGCAGCCATTAGCAGAGAATACGGTGGGCGAGTGCCCACTGAGCCCACTCATCCATTAATGAAAGGCTGGTCGTCCTAAGATGATCCAGGTTGTGCTTTTGCAAAAACAATTGGGTCCCCCCACCCCACAAAGGGAATAACATGAAATCCAACAGCAAGCCCTTGTGTTGTGTGACAGGACCCTGTGGCAGATGCCAACTGCTGTCCTGCAAACACGGCCACAGACACCCATCTCCACCCTTTCCTGGGACCCAGCATGGGGAGAATGTCAGTGACCTTCTAGGAAAGACAGTTTGGAAAGAGATGCCACCTCCCCCCACCCCAATACCTTTTGGAAGGGAAGCCACCTCTTTGCCCTCTGGGGAAGGATTGCCTCTCTGAGGGGTGACAAGTGACCATGGCTCACCTCTCATGATGGGGCCTTCAGGGGCCCTTGCTGAACGGGAAGGCCGCCGAACAGGCTGTGCGAGACCTCGGAGCCCTGCTGGGCACTCGCCTTTTATGGATCTGCCCCGGCTTTCCTCTGGGGCAAAGCACAGTCGTCTCCCTCAGGAGACCCACTTACTTAAACAGCCTCCAGCGTCTCCATCTGGCCCGGGTGCTTCTCTGTAAGGAGGTCTTTTGAGCGTGCCCCTCTCCTCTCTGAGGCCGCCTGCCTCTCCCACTCAGACAGCCCGCCGCCGAAAGAAATGTGTCCGCCCTGGGCGGACAGCTGTGCCATTCAGACGTGGCCCTGATGGCTCAGCCTCTTTGATGCATTAATCTGCTCTGAGTCCAGGCACCAAAATAAAACCGCTTTCTTGATCTCCGCAAGCCCTCGGGATTCTGTGAACTGACTCAGCACACTGCGTGACCCCTCGCCAGCTTGGGGAGGGCCGGCTCAGGGCCCCTCTCCGGGGGTCCCGCAGCGGAGCCAGCCGAGTGTGTAATGTGATGACACACTGGCCCGAGCGTGCCCTTGTTTGGCCCGCGGAGGCTTATGTCGCTCACATCCGTGGGGATTAGCTGTGTTGACGAGGTCCCATGCCCTGAAATTCAGTCATGGCTTCCATGGTGTCCTGGAGTAGACACCGCAACTCTTCTCCCCAGTGTGTTAAGTCCTCCTCACTGCTGCCTGGCGTGCTCGTCCCTCCCCACCCCTCCCCCGGCTGCCTTGACCTTTGGCTGAGCGTGACTCTGGAAATACCTCTGCATCTTTCATCGCCGCCCTGATGCTGCAGTCCTGGCCCTGGCCTCATTTTTCATGTATGAAACAATAAATCCGCCCCGGGGGCACCAGCCATCGATAAACTGTGACTGGTCTCTAATTGAAACTGTTGGGAACTTTCCCACCAGGGACTGGAACCCGGGCTTTGTGTGAAAGCCCCCACTGTTCGCCAAGGCGGGGCTTCTGTGCCCGAAGCCGCACTTCCACTTGGCTGCATAGCCGCAGGGACCGACACATGCCCTTCCTTTATAAGTCCCCGGCGTGGGCAGTGAAACCAAGCCGGTCTGGATCAGAATCCCTGTGTCTTCTTTCTGTGTCTCTGGGCAGGTGGCTGACTGATGCAGTGCCTCAGTTTCCTCCTCTGTAACATGCAGACAACAGTCATCTTTACGTCACATGGCTGTCCCCAGGATTACATGAAGGGCACGTGGCATGGCCAGAGGCCTTCATAAAACTCACTGCCATCGAGTGGACGCCCACTCGAAGCAGCACCGTTGGACAGGGCAGAACTGCCCGTGAGTTTTCGAGACCATGATTCTTTACAGGCGAGAAAGCCCTGTCTCTCTCCCGTGGGGTTGCTGGAGGTGCCGGACAACTCACTTTGCAGTTAGCAGCCCAAAGCATCACTGCGATGCCACCAGGGCTCCTCGGATGCCTGGGCACACCTTCACGAGGCCCCCGCAGAAGCCTCCCGGGAAGGAATTCCGTGCTGGGAGTCTATGAAAGACCACCTTGTCTGGCCAGACAGGAGCAAGGCCCTGCGGGGACCGGCAAGCCACTTGGCTTGCAGAGAGAAAGAAGTCCTTTAGGAAAGCAGTTCCAAGTTTGGTGTCTGACTACTCTCCTTTATCATCCCATTTGGGCAAGCCCCTTCCCACCTCCCAGGATGAAGCCTACCCACTCCGGCCTTCCTGGAAATCTGATGGACCTAGGCTGCCATCTAGTACCCTCTCTCCAATCGCCTGAGCTTCTCAGAGACACTAGGGCACCAAGGTGTGGGCGGGGAAAACCATTTACCATCTTCATGTAAATGTTCCTTTGTCCCTGCCTGCCTTCCCCACTTCCTTTCTTCCTTGCCCGGCTCCTCATTCTGAAGTGCGCCACATGCATGATCTCGCAGTCAACCATCCTTGGCAAGACTTACCTGGTAGGTAGGTACCAGGATCGTGAAGGTGGTTTCCCCAGGGCCGGGATTATCGCTGCTCCCGGAAGTGCTAACTCCTGCAATGTCTCCAAACGTGGGAGACTCCGATGCAGCATTTGTGGTAGTGGGGACTGCGTCTATACTCCCCTGTTTAAAGAACAAGAACAGTAAAACACGAGTCATTTGTGCTCTCTGACCACCAGTAGCCCACGAGTGGCATTCACTCATGAACTGATCAGACTCTAAGACCAGCTGAGACTCTAACCCCACCCTAAGGACTAGAATGTTGCCAATAGCCTACCTCTCCCTGTGAGCATCTCCTGCCCAGAGACCAGCCAGGGTTTCTGTAGAGGGCCAGGTGGTAAACGTGTTAGACTTGGAGAGACGCGTGTTCTCTCTCAACTGCTCAGCTCGGGCGTGGTTGCACAAGAGCGGGCAGCGCCAGCATGTGGATGAATATGCACCGGCTGAGCGCCGATGAAGTGCTGTCTGCAAAGGCAGAAGGAGGCCTGGCCTGGCCGACGGGCCACAGTCTGACCCCAGTTCTGCCCCACCCAACTGCTACCACCTGCCTCCCACCACCCAGCCCAAAGCATTGCCATCCTGCCTCCCATTCCGCAAAGTGAAGGGCATGGGTAGCTGGATGCTCTCCTTGTCCTCTCCTTTTATATCATTCTGGTCAGAAGGCCTAAGTGCTTAAGCACAGTCCAGTGCTCAGACGCGATGGAGCCCTGGGCATGCCAAGAAGTCAGTGGCTGTCTCTGTGGGCATGAGGGTACCACGCTCCACCTGTGTGCTGCACGGCCAACCAAGCCCACAGCTTTGGGATTCAGGGGACTGGCGCACATGAGCCCACAGGCAGTGTGGCGGACTGGGCGAGGCCAGGATGCCTGCATGCAGGGGAGGACAGCTCCCAGGAGAACCCGGCTGGGCGCCTCACGGAAGACACAGCTGCATGTGCAGCCGCTGTGCTGTCCTGGGGGAATCCCGTGCTGTCTCCTGTACAATGGAGCGAGCACTGCCTTACAGGGTGCAGAGGAGCCCTGCTGGCGTGGTGGTGATGCACAAGGTCAGCAGTTTGAAACCACGAGCTGTCCCTCGGGAGGAAGAGGGGGCTTTCTGCTCTCATAAACAGTTACTGTCTCAGATTCTCAGTGGGGGGTGGTGTGTTCTGCCCTGTCACACAGGGTCGCTACAAGTCAGCATTTACTCTGTGGTGGTGAGTTTGGCTGATAGGGGACAACCAGGTCAGCAGATGCGTGGTGACCCTGCATGTGTCAGAGGGGAGGCCTGCATTTGTTTGTGCCGTTGTGTTTTCTTCCCTTTTAATAAAACTCTAAATGTGTACACATATGATATTTTTTTTTAAAGTAGACCATCAGTCATTGCTTCTAAAAGCACCTCTGACTGGACTCAAGCCCCTCGCCTTTCAGTGAGCCGTGAGTCCATGAACCCTGTTCCCACCACCCAGAGACAGTTCCCCACAGTTTGGCTGGGATGTTCAAATGACTCGTGCTAGGGACGTAGCACAGGCTTGCTCGAGCAAATGCTGGAAACCAGGATGGGTTCTCAGAGCCTAGTGAGTCCGAGCTGTTCCCACCTGAAGCACACACAGATATCTGGGCTCACAGACTGGACCTCCACAATGGCCACCGACAGGCTTCTGGAAGCAGCAGCCCCACTGCCCAAAAGAGCCCGTCTGCGGTTCAATTTTGTGCCTGCCGACTCAATCCGGAGAGTGAAGGGTGGCCAGCACTGCCCGGAGAGCACGGGTTCCAGGCTGTGGTTCCGTCGGAGCTCAGCCAAGGAACAGAGGGAGGGAGTGTGAGCGGATGTTCATGCCTGCAGCGTCTGGGAGCCAGACCCAGGAGGCCCGGACAACTGTGTGGGACAGAGGCCACTGCCTTTTTATCTAATCAGTCCCCTGTGGCAGGAAGCTACCAGTTAATGAGCTGGAACCTGTAGGGGACTCGGAAGGTGGAAAAGTGTCGTTTTGAGCTGCTCGGGGAGGAGAGCTTCCGGGCATGACATCGCTAGTGAAAAGGTAGAAAGTTGGGGCCAGAACTTCCTGACTCTTTCGTAATCTTTGGATAAGGTGAAAGTTCAGGGTCAAGGGTACCTAGGGTCACTCAGTTTGCTTTATACGAATACTTAGAGGCTTTAAACTCTTGTTAGTTGGTCTTTCAGCTGTCTGATAAAATTTAAGAGTAGTTGATAAGAACCGCATGTCACCAATCTTCTTAGAGCTAAGAATGACCCAAACCAAGCTCTCCGCCATCAAGTGGGTTCTGACTCAGAGACATGTGACATGCCGCATAGAGACATGTGACTTAGGACCTATGGATAGGTCAGGGTAGAACTACCTCCGAGGGTTTCTGAGACTGTTCACTCTTGACGGGAGTAGAAAACCTCATCTTTCCCCCATGGAGACACTGGTGGTTTCAAACCGCTGACCCTGCAGTTAGCACCCCGACACATCACCATTATGCCACAGTCGGCAGAATCTATGAGACTGCTTTCCTGCGCCTTCTCCTCCCCAGAGCCCCATTCTCATATGGACGCTGTAAGAACTAGAAAAGACTGAGACATGCTGGCCTTACTACTTGCCTCAGAGGCCGCAGTGGCTCATTGGTAGAATTCTCCCCTTCCATGCTGGGGGCATGGGTTCAAGCCCCACGAGCCAGTGCAGCTCACATGCAGCCCCTCGCCACACACCCCTCAGTGGCGACTTGTATGCCGTCAGGATGGGGATGTGACGGCGGTGTGTTCGGTTTCACTTTGTTTGCAATGCTGAACAAGTTTTGGTGGAGCCTTAGCAAGAAGGCCTGGAGATGATCTTCCAATCGCCAGCCGATGGAAGGCCGCGGGTCACAGCGCTCTGCACCACAGCCCGCCCTGGGGACGGCGGGGCCAAGTCTGCAGTGCTTCAGGCTGTCGTAAAGGGGTCCCCGGCAGCTAACTGCAGCAACCACCACTGCACAGCCATTTCTGATGTCACAGCTCTGACTGGCTCATCACCCGGGAGCTGCTAGCCGTGCCGAGAGCCCAAGAGGTTCTGTTTGAGCACAGTACCCGTTAGGTTCCAGCACAGAGCGGTGCCCAGGTGCACAGCCTCGTCCGTGCTATCCTCCCTCAGCATCCTTCCGATGTGTGAGCCCATTACCGCAGCCACGGCGTCCATCCATCGCCAGGGGTTTCTCCTTTCTGACCGTGTACCAAACCAGAGCCAGGCCGGACCCCTGCCTAATGGAACCAACTCTGAGAAGCCCTGGCTAGGGTAGACCAGGCTGTGTTTTTTTTAATCTTCCCACTGGGCACCATGAAGCTCCCGTCTCTTGGCGTTCTTGTTCAGAGGACACATGTGAAGATGAAGATGCATTCAGACAAGTGTGATTCAATGTAGTTAGCTCATGAGTTCACCTGCCGGAATCAACTTAGACCGACAGATGCTGGTCCTCAGAAAGCCAATGAAATAAAAGGGTCGAGGAACCTAGCCAACTAGGATGTCTGGCCAAGGCCTTGCACGGAAGCGCTGTTTTACGTAGACCTTTTGATTGGCTACTTTGTTCCCTGCTCCAAGAATATGAATCGGAATCAATTTCCTCTTCACGCGTAGTTGCTCACGCACGTTGCACATGGAACAAGTGTGTGAGAAGCTGTTCTTCTCGGCGAGAACTTGTTGGTTCGGTCCTTTCTATTGTAGCACACGAGTCCCGTGTCTGCAATCAATGTCAGGGTGTAACTCCTTTTGTTGAGTTGTAACTCAGTGTGTGGGACCCCACAGTGAATCTGGGGTTCATTGGGTCTTTCTCAGTGATTGGTTCTGTGCTAGGCTGTCACACATGTAGTTTGAAAAGGTTCTGATTACATGCAAACCACCTCAACTAGGACATAGGCCAAATTAACCCACCAATCAATTCTGCATCCCAAACCTTAGGGAACCTTTTGGAGTTCACCGTATCTGCCCCCCACCCCCTTGTTGTAGAACAGGGTCCCCGTTAGAAGTGCTGAACCCGGAAGGAGACCATCGGGGTTTGAAGGCTGCTTTCAATCCTTACCGGCTGTGCGGCCCTGCATAAGTTAATTAAGCGTTTTGATCTTCAGCTTCCTGATTTGTATAATAGGACCCATTCATGGGATTTTGGAAAGGGTTAAGTCTTTTCTTTTATGCGAGTCTTAGCCAAAAAAAAGTCCTGTGTGCGTAGTAGCCCGGGCACTCTCTCCTCCGTGGTTTTGTTCTGCGCCGGGTAGCAACTAGACCTGGAGGCGGAATCTGCACACATTCACCTCCGTGGAGTGAAAACCGTGAGTCACACACAGAGGAGCTCATGGCTTGGGTGGTGAAGGTCATCATCCTTTCAAAGGAGAACGATCAATGTACACACGTGTGTATGCGCGTGCACAAGCGCCCGCGTTTGCCCCCAACTACTCTCCACGTTTGTGTCCCACGTGGCTCTGCTTTCATCAAGCCGTTGGCTCCACAGCCAAAGGGCCTGTGACTGCTGCTGTCACATGACCGCAAGCGTCTGCAGGAGCCAGCAGTGAGTTAGATCAGGAAGGCCCGCATGGACCTCTGCTAGGCCTCCCTCCAGGTGTCCAAGAGCACCTTCCCTTTCTGCCATCACAGTGACCCTTCGCTGGACTACGGAGTCCCACACGTGCCAACGACTATGTGCTTCTGCAGTCGTGGCTGTTGACGGTCTCTCAGCGGCTTCCTCCCTCGGGCAGGCTGGTGGTGGGGAAGAGGCCGTTTCCTGGTCATTAGAGCAATCATGTAGTCACCTCCCCTGGCACATTTAGCTTTCGTAGTGAAGCAGGACAGTCTGAGTTTCCAGGTTGATAGGCGTGGCAACACCTGTGTTCAACAAGCAGGCCCTCATGCCTGGTCCACATTTCACTTGTGACGCTAGTGTGGGCTGAGGGGAACATAAACTCGGTGTGTCCACAGCTCCAGCTGATGTGCATGTTTGTAGCCAAGGGTCCCAGTGGGTCCTAACTCAAGGCCTTGGGAAATGGCCCCTGGGGGGTTGGGTTTTGCGTGCTGGTAAGCAAGCTGGTTAGAGGTGCTGACACCTGAGAATCCCGATCGAGGTGTGACTGCCAAGGGTCTGGCCTATCTACTTGTGGTGCTGTAAGGTGTACTAGACTC